ACAATCACCACTTTCATCACAAACACCACTTTCATCACAATCACCACATTCATTACAATCATTTCACAATCACCACTTTCATTACAATCACCACTTTCATCACAATCACCACATTCATTACAATCACCATTTTCATTACAATTACCACTTTCATTACAATCACCACATTCAATCACCACTTTCATTACAATCACCACTTTCATTACAATCACCACTTTCATCACAATCGCCACATTCATTACAATCACCACATTCATTACAATCACCACATTTCATCACAATCACCACTTTCATTACAATCACCACTTTCATTACAATCACCACTTTCATCACAATCACCACATTCATTACAATCACCACTTTCATTACAATCACCACATTCAATCACCACTTTCATCACAATCACCACTTTCATTACAATCACCACTTTCATCATAATCACCACTTTCATCACAATCCCCACATTCATTACAATCACCACTTTCATCACAATCACCACTTTCATTACGACATCAATCACACTTTCATTACAATCACCACATTCATCACAATCACCACTTCACAACATCATTTTTCATTACAATCACCACATTCATCACTCATTTCATACAATCCCACATTCATCACAATCACTTCATTACAATCACCACTTTCATTACAATCACCACTTTCATCACAATCCCCACATTCAATCACCACTTTCATTACAATCAACATTCACAATCACCACTTTCATTCACAATCACCACTTTCATTACAATCACCACATTTCGATCACCACTTTCATTACAATCACCACTTTCATCACAATCACCACATTCATTACAATCACCACGTTCATCACAATCACCAATTTAATTACAATCACCACATTCATTACAATCCCCACATTCAATCACCACTTTCATTACAATCACCACATCCAATCACCACTTTCATTACAATCACCACATTACCTGCATGCTGTTCTCTTCCTCCACATCGAAATTCTCGTGCACATATTCTTGCACCTGCGAAAATTCCCTCAGTTTTTCGCTCACTATTTCGTCGGGAACGTCTCTCCTTCGTCTCTTGCCAGTTGAAACGGTGACGAAACTAAAAGAAAAGAAAGGAAAAAAAAAAAAAAAACGAGAGGTTAGAGGTGTTATGTGTGGTGTGATGTTACGCTATTTTGGATCTTATGTCTCGAATTGGGTTTTGGGGATTGTTATGGTTATTAATCACTGTTATCTATTTGTGTCATGTTATTATTGTTTATTCTCATCATCGATAACATTATCATCATTACTATCATTACTTGGATTACTTTTATCATTGTCATTTTTGTTATCATTATCATGATTATGATTATATATCAACAATACCATTTTGGTCAGTTATTTTACTTAGCTATTTCCTTTCTTACCATTTTTGTTATTATCAAATAACTTTTGCCAAGTTCTTTTCATTCTTACCGTTATTGTTATTCACTAAAATAACTTTTGCTAATTTTCATTCTCATAATCCCTATCGTTATGATCTAAATAGCTATTTTTTTTACTTATAAATAGCTAGCATCACATCAGTCGTTATTCGCTAAAATAACTTTTGCTAATTTGCATTCTCATAATCACTATCGTTATGATCTAAATAGCTATTTAACTTTTACTTATAAATAGCTAGCATCACATCAGGCGCGTATCACTGACCCAATACCAATGGGAGCCAAGTTGAAAAGGGTAGCGAGGACGGCCAGGGGAGCCAACACGGAGCAGAGAGCACCAGATAACCCCCCCTTTCCTCCTTTTCCTCCTTTTCCTCCTTCCTCCTCCGCCATATCCCCCTCCTCCACTTCCACCGTGTCCCCCTCCTCCACTTCCACCGTAGCCACCTCCCCCACTTCCGTAGCCACTTCCTCCACTTCCGTAGCCACCTCCTCCACTGGGTTCGGTGATGTAGATGACTTCAGCCCCACCTCCTCCTCCTCCTCCACCGTGTCCTCCTGCTCCACCTGCGCCACCTGGAGAGAGAAGGGGAAATCCACCTGCCAGCGACTCACCCGAAGCTCAGAAGAGGCAGAATGGAGCTGAGGAGAGCCAGCGGAGCCAGAGCAGCGCAGATGGTGCAGGCGGCGGTGCTCGCTGCTCCTCCACCTCCACCACCTCCGTATCCTCCACCTCCTCCACCACCTCCGGAATAACCTCCACCACCTCCACCTTTGGTCTGGTGGACGATCACGACTGGGTGGCCGCCCGATCCACCGCCTCCACCCGAACTTCCACTACCTCCGTAGCCTGTTCCACCACCACCACCTGCCCCGTATCCTCCGCCACCGAAGCTGCCACCACCTGTGAGCCAAAGTTATTTATAAGATTCTATGTTTGAAATTCTTTTTTTTTCTTCTATTTTTTGTTGAAATTCGTTTTTTTTTCTTCTACTTTTTGTGTCTTAAGGTTATTACTATTTTTTTAACTCATCGTTTTTCTTTATTGTGTCCTAAGATTGTTATTCACTTTTTTCTACTTGTATTTTTTCTACTTCTTTGTGTTCTAAGGTTGTTGCAATTTTTTTTTCTTATTACAATTATTTTTATTATCATTACTATCATTACTCATTCTCTTTTGTGTGATTATCTTTGAATCTTTGAAACATGAACAAGAGGAAAAAAAGTGGTGCCGTTGGAACAAGGACATACAAATCTAAAGAAAAATTGAAGGAAGAAAATCTATTTTTGTATCGATCACAAAAAAAAAAAAAAAAAGAAAGAAAGAAAAAAAGAAGACACGATAGTTAATGTAGAGAAATTATACTTATTAAGTACATGCAAAGACCCTGATATCAGAAATATTCTAGAAGACTGACAAAAAACATATAGCCATCAGAAATAAATTAGACAATTAATTTACTAACGATGTTTATAGACGAAATTAATTAACAGACGAAATTGGATATAGAAAAGACTAATTAATGGTTTTATAACTAACATAGACGATTTTCCACATGCAAGAATGCCCTAGTTATTTTGAAAACATGTATATATAAACTTCATTTAACTTCATTTCCATCAAGAACTGAAGCAATACATTTTAGATATTTTTAATTGAACAAAAACATACCACTTATTGAATGAAAAATCACAAAAACAAAAAATTAATATCAATTATTCTTATTTATCATTCTACTTTGAATTTACTATTTCATTCTCATTTTTTTCATGTTTAGCATTCTAAGTAACATACAAAAACAGAAAAGGTAAAAAAAAGTAATAAAGATATAGACGCATTAATTTGACGTATAAAGAGTGGATTTACTGAAGACTTACCTCCATATCCACTTCCTCCACCTGTACCTCCATAACCTCCAGTCCCAGTAAAACCTAAAAAAAGAAAAAAAAAGAAATAGTAATAATAGTAGAAAAAAAAAGCTAAAAATAGCAATGGTAAAAAATAGTAGAAAAATATAGCAATGCATCATACTAAAAAAATAGTAATAGTAAAAAATAGATTATAAGGATGCATCATACTAATAATGCTCCTACTGCAACAACAACAACAACAACAACAAAAATAGTGAATAAATGAAGTGAATGATTGAAGTTAATAAATCAAATGGATACAAAAATGTGCACAACCGAAGTGAACATACGAAGTGACTCTCAAATGAAGTGAATGAACTGAAGTGAATGAACCTCTAACCGTACTCATGTAGACAGATGTTGAAAGGTATGAATGAGAATGAATATCTTCACGATACAAGCGATGTATTTGACCGGTTTCGAATATACTTTCGTCAGAAATAAATGTATTTCTGACGATACATTCGAGACCGGTCAAATACATCTCTTGAAGACATATTCGTAACCGGTCCGGTCAAGTATATTCAAAACCTTTCGAATAATCTCTTGAATATATACTCGAAACCGGTCAACTACACCTCTCGTATTGAGAAGATACTCATTCTCATTCATACATGTATTTCTGACGAAGATATATTCGAAACCGGTCAAATGCATTTCTTGAAGACATATTTCTTGAAGAAGATACTCATTCTCATTCATACATGTATTTCTGACGAATATATACTCGAAACCGGTCAAATAATCTCTCGAAGATACATTCGAAACCTCTCAACTACATCTCTCGTATTGAGAAGATACTCATTCTCATTCATACATGTATTTCTGACGAAGATATACTCGAAGCCTCTCAACTACATCTCTCGCATGGAGCAGATACTCATTCTCATTCATCCCTCATCGACATGAATGACCCTCACCTCCACCTCCACCGCCGGAACTGTAGTCTCTCTCCACTCTCACGTGTGGCTCGAACTCCACCGCCGCTTCCACCACTCCACATCCAGCCACCACACCAGCCGCTGCCAACACTGCGCCAGACCACTTCATCCTGAGGGGGCGAATGAGGGAGAAAGAGGACGGGAATAAATGAGGGGGAATGGAGGAATACTAGGATAAAGAGGGGAGTGGGTGATGAGGGTGGAAAAAAATGTACCTGGGAGAGGGGAGGAGGTAAATAAGGGGAGATGAGAAGGGAAGTAAGGAATGGGAATAAACGAAAGGAAATAGAAGATAAAAAAAAAAAAAAAATTGAATCAACACGGAGAAATAGGGAATAGGCAGATACGAAAAAATATAGGCTTCAGAAAAATGGGGAATAAAAAAAACACGAATGAAATGCGTAATTGGGAAAATAAATAAATAATTAAGGTTGCGAACGAGAAATTGAGAAATAGGAAAATAGGTGAAAAAGAAGGAAATAAGGATAGAATAAAATAGAAACAAAGATGGATAATTATTAACGAAATGCAATAAATGGAGAAATTTGGATTAATAAGAAATAGTAAACAGCTGATAGACGTAATAGATTAACGCTGATAAATAATGAACTAAATAATAGCATGTGAAGGAATTTTGGATAAAAGAGAGAAGGAAAATTATTTGATAACTAGGGTGCAGGATTTTTTTTCATTATCTATTATATAATTAGTTGTCTATTATTATC